CCGGCTAGATCAGGCATGATCACAGCCGTAACAAGTACAAGTACAAGTACAGCTATGGCGCCTTTTAATACTTATCTGGATAGCAGTTATGTTGTTCGCCCACGCTAGCTACCCCTAGTCTCAGAACTCTCTCTTACGGCACCGGTGGTATAAGTTTAGTTTATTTTGTTATCTTAATGTTAGTTTTAGTTTGGTTAGTTTTCATTTTAGTTAGTTTTTTAAGCTTAGCCTAGTTAAATTAGTTTAGTATACAGTAGTTATTTCAGTATATTTATCTAAGGGTGATGGTATCTAAATAAACTAAAAGTAGTAATACTAAGAGTAATCACAAGGGTAGGAGGCAGGGATATCTAAGGTGGTCGACCAACTTAATTGTTACGTTTATCCGCACAGGCTGAGGCTTTGCTATCATCTATTTCTAAGGGCTTGCGCTCAACTCTAAAGCCACGTTTATGCTCCTAGCAGGAAGGACCCTCAGCTACTTCAGTACTTTGGCGCCGACGCTTCAATCATCCCCGGAAGAGGAAGAAGAAAAAGGGGCGATTTCTGGGACCAGGTTGTATTTAAGGTGACGTTTCAAAAGCTTTCTCGCTTCCATCTTCAGAGCGTGGTAACCATTCTCCTGCTGGTGTCAGTAAGCGTGCCCAAACGTGAGCCTGATGCCTGATGCCCGTGTGTCAATCGACTGCCCTCGCGAGGGCGCAAGCAATTCAAACAGCCACAAAAAATCGATCGGTAGAATCGATTGACACACAGGCATCAGGCTCACGTTTGGACACACTGACACCAGCAGGAGAACAGTCACCACGCTCTGACGATGGAAGCGAGAAAGCTTTTGAAACGTCAACTTAAATACAACCTGGTCCCAGAAATCGCCCCTTTTTCTTCTTTCTCTTTCGGGGGATGATGAAAGGAATATTATGTCTGGACCTCGAATTCTGGCGCATATTAACTATCTTTTTATCATGGCCTAACTTACATATATCTCTGAAGATAATGGCCAATCCCGGGATATTGTACAGCTTTCTAAGCTAACCGCGTCACTAATCTTCTTTCTGGCACGTCTGCCTTGAGATATCATCTTGAAAAGTAGTACTGAATGCATTACCCCCTCCTCGCTTCTCCCTGCTGTCCGTCTGCCTGCTTAAAGTGTTGCCTCCGTGTATATGTGTTTTCGAACTGCCTGTTCGTTTAGTACGTGAAGCATGCGACATACCCCTGTTTATGACATAATCCCCCCCTTTTTTTGCACGCCAGCCGGTCATCCAGCATTCTCTCTCTCTGTCTACCATTTAGGTATTTTGGCGAGATGGACCGGTCTGAGGCCACGCGACTGTTGACCGGTTGCGAGAACGGCACCTTCTTGGTGCGTATTTCCAAGAACCTCCAGCGCGCCGGCGAGTACTCACTCAGTGTGGTCTACAACCATCCGAGGCACATTCGCATACAGCGGACTTCCCCCTCCATAGAGTCTGGAGTGATGTACTATCTTTGCCGGCCACAGCGCTTCCCATCCATCGCGGTGAGTTATCACAATTCAGCTACCACATTGTTCTCTGTGAGAGTATACAAGAAAAGATGGTGGTGGTGGTCGCTTGCTTGCGGGTTTCCATATACAACTGTATCTTATTGAACGTTGTGCTTCACATGTAGGGAGGTCAATCTGTCTGGTCATGCACCGTCTAAACTGTCATCAACTAGTGCCACAAAGACGACTGCGGCAAACTTGACCACACTCCTTTCGAGAAATTTTTATACAGCCCTGCAACTACCGGGTCACATTCAGTAGACTGGGCGACTTTTATGATGTTTTCGGAAAAGGAGAGGTGGGGGGGGTTGGATTTGAGGTTAGGAT